GAGCCCCGATGAAGCCGGAGCGGCCCCAGCCCGATGGAGGCGCCTCCGTGGGAGCCGGTGCGCAATGACTCGCTGCCGCCCACGCTGAGCCCGGCTGCACCGCCCTATGTGAAGCTCGGCCTCACCGCGGTCTACACCGCCTTCTACGCGCTCCTCTTCGTGTTCATCTACGCGCAGCTCTGGCTGGTGCTGCGCTACCGCCACAAGCGGCTCAGCTACCAGAGTGTCTTCCTCTTCCTCTGCCTCTTCTGGGCCTCGCTGCGTACTGTGCTCTTCTCCTTTTACTTCCGAGACTTCGTGGCGGCCAACTCGTTTAGCCCCTTCGTCTTCTGGCTACTCTACTGCTTCCCCGTGTGTCTGCAATTCTTCACCCTCACGCTCATGAACTTATACTTCACGCAGGTGAGTCCCGAGAGACGCTCACCTGCCTGCTGGAGTCACCCTCCATCCGCTGGGTGGGGACAGGTCTCGGCCGCAGGTGGAGAGGGTGGAAGTGAGGCGCGGGTCCTGGGACTATCCTATCCTTGGGCCCTATTTGCAGGTGACCCCACTCTGTTCCCAAAAGTAAGGAGGACCCACCGAGTACCCGGAGTGCTCTGTGCACATCGTATTCAGTGGTGATGCAAGGGGTTCCTGAACTACCTGGCTCCCTTACTCATCTTAAGACATCTACCCTTAGCTTGGAAGGCCATCTGTGTGTTGGCCCCATTTCCGGACCAGACACTGCCTGTTAGGAGTAATGGTGGGGCGGGCTTGGTTTTGATGAGATATTTTGAACCTTTGGGATTAGGATCCATACTGTACTGTGAATTAGTAACTCATTCCACAGGATTGCTTCACCAGGGCAGTCTGGTGGCACACCCAGCTCCCCAGCTGCAGGAGGTTTTTTGGCTTGCTGTCTGAGCTCATCGGAGAAGCCCCAAGAAAAAAGCCATAAAATTGAACCTGTGCTCTTTTTACAGGCTCACCAGCTTCATTTTATGAGGCCTGTAGTTAATAAGCTAAAGGATTGCACGAGGGCGCCTGTGGTTGTGTCTTTAATGAAAGGACAGTGATTGCAGGAGGCTTCACAAATACCAAGTCAAGCAGTTCACAAAGGTGTACTGACACTGCGACGTTATCCTTGCCTTCTCCAGTTTCCACTAGCTTTCCAGACACTAAAATGTCCATTTTCACTAGTTCTGCCCGGGGTGGGGTGGGGTGGGGTGGGGGGAGCTCTAACTGTGTCACCTGATGGGGGCGATTGAAGTGTCTTCTCCTTGGCAGAAGCCGGTGCAAGCAGGCATCTGTGCCTTTGAACAGTATTTGTTTTTCAAAAGAAAATGTTTTGATGAAAAGAAAAGTGTCACTGGTGCCTTGAATAATGGGTCTGGCTACCTAGGGGCAGAATTGTCCTTGTATAATAGAAACCCCTGACTGAAAATTTGGAAGGAATATTTTTGACTAACAAATACCAGATATGTTTGTGCAACAAGTACTGAAATCCTAGTACTTGTTGAGTGGAGGCAGGAGGATCAGGAGTTCTAAGCCAGCCTCAGCTACGTAGCAAGTTTGGGGCCACCCTGAGGTATATGAGACACTGTAGGAAGTCTAAAGGAAACTAAAAGAGGAAAGATACCAGACATATTAGGTGTGGTGGTTCAGACCTGTAATCTTAGAACTTGGGTAGTTAAGCCAGGAAGATTGCTATGAGTTCCAGCCTGAGCTACAGGATGGGACCCTGTAAGCCCCCCATCAGATGTAATATTTAGTGGAGTATTATGAACATATATTGATATTTAATAATATATATGTTGGGTCTCTGCTTGGAGCCTTCTTAGTGGTCCTGTGGGTCAGCATATTTTCAAGTACAGGGGTATTGGGCGTGGCTTTAAACTCTGAAAACCAGTCCAGGCCATCAGTTTCATGACACACAGGTTTTGTAATTGGATAAAAATGGGGGTGGTTCCTGCAAGATGCAAATGTAAGGTAAAGTGGTGTCACCTGGAAAACCGTGTCTCAGATGGCGATCTTATCTCTGGTCCCTTTTGAGTATTCCCTGGCTCTCTGGCAGTCACATGCCAAGCCGGATTAGGGGCTGGCCAGCGCATTTTCTGCACCATCTGCTGGTTGTTGAGTAAATGCTGAGCAAGGGAAAAAGTGAACAGGCACACAGAGCCACTGGGCAGGCGGCCCCAAGCCACTCTCCTTGTTTCCTTTATGTCTGTCCCCCAGGTGGGAGGACACATACAATAGCAAGGGACATTTTGTCTGAGGACTCAAAGTAGCTGGCAGGAGAAGGTGGCACCACAGTGAAGACATTCCTAACTTCCTGAAAAGAATTTTGGTCTTTCTGGAGAGTTAGGAAGTTGGCTCTTGGACTCCAGACTGCTGTGCCATCACTTGTTGGAAATGTCTCTCCAATGATCACTCTGCCTGAGCTCACTCATCACAGACCATGTAAATCCAAGTGTTGGGGAGGGCGGTGACTACCAAGTAAAAAGTATATGCTGGCTGGGCCCAGTGCTGCATTTGAGACTAGCCTAGACTGCATAGTGAGACTTCTCATTGCCTCCTAAAAATACTCAAATCCATTTGAGGTGATAAGATGTAAACACACACACACACACACACACACACACACGTCAGTCATAACTTAAGGGACTGAAAAGAGCGAGGGCTAGGAGACTTGCACAGTGCAATGCCTACATCCCCAGGGATAGGAGTTCTGAGGCAGAAGACTGGGTAGAAGAGAGCTAGAAGGCCTAGGGGTTGGAAATGATCAAGAAGGGAGTCTGGAGGTAGAAGAAGCTGCCTTCTGTTGTCACATCCTTAGGCCTGGCATCCTCATGTTACTTAGCCTTTCTTGTAACCCATCAACTGTTCCTTTTCCCCAGAAAGAGGAGGCATTACCATAAAGTCATCGTCCTCTGTGGAACGACCCCGCCCCTGGAATGCCCCACGGTATTTTTGTTGAACACAAAGCGGTTTGGAGAAGGGTGTGTCCTTCTCTCTCAGCCTGTTGCTCTCCTTGAGGGCCTGGCAGGGGAGCAGCACCTTGCCTGGTAACTCAACCTGTCTGCCCTGGTTTTGCTCTGGTTCTGCCTCTGTAGGTGACTGCCTTGTCTGCAGGTGGGCTTCAGCTTCCTTCTGACCCACTTTCTGATTCTTTTGCATGAAGCCTTAGAGGTAGAAGGATCACCTATACTGCTTTGCCACACACACGTTGGACTGGACATCTACTAGTGTCTTCTGGATCCCCCATTTGGGCTCTTTTCCCTTACCAGACAGGAGTAGCCCCCCCCCACCCCACCACTCGCATGTGCATGTGCAGAAAATTGAGACAGGAGCAGGATCCTGGTAGGGTAAGCTGTTCCAGAACTCTCTTAGCAAGCCACTTGACTCTGACATTTGTCCCCATTAAGCCACACATTCTCAGATCAGCGGGTGCCTGTTGAGGCTCTTCAGCGACCTGGAAGAAGGACCTCTCATGCCAGTAGGCTCATGAGACTCTCCATCTCAGCCTCACCTGATGAAGCTGGCTTGGTCTCCTAACTGGAAGAAAGCTATATGTAGTGTGAATCCCTGAATATCTGAGCTCTGTTTGATAGACCTGTTCCTCTACTGACCCCTCAACACTGTTTTCATTTTGTTTTTTTATTTTTGTTGTTTTGAGAAAGGATCATACCAGGTTGCACAGCAGTAGCCACTCTTAGGCACTCCCGATGCTGGTGCCTTCCGTCTCAGTCCCTGCCTTTCATGGTCACACAAATAGACTTCATGATAGGGACAGAGCCCTATCATGAGTTGGTGTCATTGTGTGGATGAGTTCAGTGACCCATACCAGGGTGTATGTGACAGCATTCACTGTCCTCAGGCTCACCTCCCAGGCTCCATCCCTGTCCCATGTCTGTTAGATGTTCCTCCTGCTAGCTGCTCATCTCTGAGCCCAGCATGGGAGTGAGCTGAAGCAGGGCAGGCACATGAGGCACTGAGCAGGTGAGCACTGTCCCATGCAGCACTCTGTAGCACCGCCCTGCCAGGATCTGGGGTTTGGCAAAAATCCAATCTTGTGTCCATTTCCTTCAGCCCTTCCTGGTCACCTTGAATTTCCTTGTGAAAAGGAAGCCACTTCTAGATTGGAAGTCCAAGTGGCCAGGGCTCTTAAAACAGAAAAATATCTGCACCAGCAGCTCAAGTAGTGCCTATGGGCACTAGAAGTTCAGGATCCTAGTTCATTCTTCACCTGAGGTTGAAGTCTTTACCTGGGACGGATGAGTAAAGCCTAGTAGTTTCTTCACCAAGGTGCCTATTCCTCAGGCTTCATGGGGAAGATAGTAAGAAATGAGGGGGCGCGGGTGCTGGCCAGGACTTTCAGGCCTGTGAGCCACATGTGGTCTCTGTTACATATCCCTTTCCCCCTTTCTTCTGTTTTTAAATGATCCTTTATAAAGGCAAAAAAAAAAAATCCTTAGCACATAGATTTTAACAATAGCCTTCAGGATGGACTTGGTCTGGGGACTGTAGTTGGCTAACCCTGGGGTTAGGCCAAACCTGTTGGTTTTCCTAGCTCTCACTCCATCTTTAGTCTGTGGTGTTTGCTGAAGCAAGCCCTACAGGCAAATCACAAGCAGGCCTTGGCTTTGCTCATCAGAGTATCACTCATTCAGTGCCAACATGTTTACTACCTCTTAGTACAGCTCCAGGAGGGACCACACTTCCAACATACAGATAGGTTCTTGAGAGCAGATCACACCCAACCTGTAGCTTCCATTAAGCAGTCACCCCTTCCTTGTCCCAGCAGCCTCGGGCAGCCACCACCATTCTTTCTATCTAGACATTACATTCCAAAGGCATCACACAGCATGTGACCATCTGTCTAGCTTCTCTCAGTCTATTTTGTATTTGTTGTTCATTTCACAGTGCTGGGGATTGAACTTAGGGCCTCCTGTATGGCATATAAATGCTCTCTTTAAGCTATAGTCTCAGTCCTGTTTACTTTTTATTTTGAGGCAGGGTCTCACTAGGTTGCCTGGGCTGTCTTGAACTTACTCTGTTGTTCAGGCCGGTCAGCATGGCTCTCATCTTCCCAAGTAGCTAGAATGACAGGCCTGTACTACTAGGTAAAGCTGCCTTTCTACTTGGAATGAGCCATCCTTTATGCCTTTCCTTGTTTCTTAAATGATGTGGGCTTGTCCCTTCCCTCCTTTAAAATCCTACTGAGTAGCTGGGCCTGTTGGCACAGGCCTGTCAACCCTGCTACACAAAAGCCTGTGGTGGGAGGGTCAACATTCTAAGGCCTACTTGGGCTGCACAATGATCTCAGGGCTAGCCTGGGCAGCCTGGTAAGTCATTGTCTTCAAATAAAAATGTCAAGAGGAGGTTGGGTTATGGCTCAATGGAAGAGCACTTGCTTAGTATAC